CATATACCTCAAAATCGCAGGCATATTCGCCACCATGAAGGGCGACAACGTGAGTCAGAGCTCCAATAGCACCAGTTTCATACTTCCTGCGAAGCTTTATTAGCCAAGCGCCACAGTGTATTTAGCGGTGGAGATAAGGCTGACCAGAACGCAGTGGTGGCCCGGGGGATGCGTTCAGTGGCCGGGATGACTTCATTCTCGTCGAAGGGCATGGCACCGAGTTGACCAGCATCCTCGTAGAACTCCACCGAGGCGGCTTGGACGGTTGTGTGGTCCACCTCGCCTCCAAAGTACCGAGAGAGATCACCTGGACAAGGTGGATTGTTTAAAGTTTATAGTGGATTGTGAAACATAGATAGAGACTCACAGAAATGAGTCGCTTGTTCCACAATCGGTCCACAGCTTAGCAATTACCATCAATCGCTGTATAAGATATGGAATTAGGATTGCGCTACCTGTTCGCCTTGTTCCACCAATGCGTTTGCGTGATACGGTCATATGCTGCAACGTAGCGTGCAGTTGTTGCCATCACACGCTTGATATGAGCGATCAGCATCCCAATCGACAAACCCCAATACTCAATGAGTTGTGACGACATACAAGATGATTCTCCTTGATGATTTCCTTCATCTTCTGAACAGCCTGCAAGTATCGGAGCATATATCTAACCAGTGACATTAAATGCTGTTGTAGATCGGGCACCAGCTCCGCGGAGTTAATGGTAGACAGGACAAGAGACCCACCCAACAGAGCACAATGTGTTGGTGTCCTTGATTGTTTTCGCTACGATCAGCGAGCGTTCAACAGGACCCGTTGCCACAGGTTTCTCAACGAAGAGAGGGGTGCCAGGGAAGAGCCTCATAAGGTTGAGCTCGGTGTCCAAACCGGGTAGATCAGAACCACGGAACCGTGGGGGACAGCCAACAAAAATTGCTCTAGGAAATCACATCAGACGATACACACTACTAAGAAATGATGCACGACAAACTGGAGTCTTTTCTGCGATATAATCTGTGATGCGAGCTCCTCAAGTGTCGCGAAGAGTTTTGTATCGCGATATGCCACCTCTGCTCTAGAAGAGCGTTTTTGGGCGAGCACTCCACTGGCGCGATTCAGATCAGGGTCGACAATGGCCACAATGCGAAGGCGATGTTTGAGCTTCCTGGAGGCGCGGCCGATTGGATCGTTAATGTGCGTTATTAAGCCCGTGATGAGCAAAGTTACTCGCCTCTCGAGGCGGAGACTATGGTTCCAGGGACCTTCGTTACTCCCTGTTGAAGACGCTCATAAGGATCGTCCAGAGTGATGAGGACATTAGATCGATCCTACTCACCAAATATCACATTCCCAGCGCCGACGAAGGCAATGTTGAAGACTCCTACGTCGTCACCCTCAACAGGAGTTGTAGAATTGAGAATAGCTTCAGAGCCGGAGATGGATGGGGACATGATTGTTTGGGTTCATTAGCAGGGTAAGAGTTAGCCTTTTTTAAGCTGGAACTAGACGGCTGCATCGGAGATCGTTCACCGGCGCGCCCGTCACCACGCCCGCCGCGCGGTAGTCGGGGTTTGAAATTTTGGCAACAATTTCCTCTTGGCGGGCGAGTGGAGTTACCGAGGGCGCGGAGATTCGGGGACACATTCCGCAGCAAAGAGTGGAGTCCAGTATTCTGAACATAAAATTTAATTGTGAGTGAATCATTTGACACAGGAGCATCTCTCTCATGATTATAGGCCATGACGAGGAGCCACACATCTGAGTCAAATAGCCAAGAAAGAAAGGAAAGCGAGCGTCAACCAAGAGAAGCTCAGTTCTCAAGCACAGTAAATGCATTTTCTCTAGCAGGGGCGTGTCCTAATAATTTCAAGCTTATGAACAGGGAAGAAATCCGGGCGCCTGGAGCAAGATCGAGTTACGAATGTGCAAGGAATGTGACAAAGGAGGCAAGGAGAGCTGATGGAAAAGGAGCCTGCCTGCAGGGTCATCAATCGGCAGTAGCAGGTCGACTATTTTTCTCCCGTGATCGTGCAAGTTTCTCCAACCCCCGCATCACTCATCTCAAACTGGCCGAGTCGCGTAAGGGTCAATTTTACAGAGATCTTGGAGCTCTAAGAGCTAATAAATGGATTTCAGGGTGCAAAGCACCGCAATGGGGCTTGGGGTTTGATCGAAGACTCCCAGGAAGGAAGTGAATCGCTTTGACGATCATTTTATGATCATAGCGGACTCGCGAGCGGCAGATATTCGCGGGGCCGTAGCTCATGAAGCAGAGCCGTCTCAAATATAACCCTCGCACAAATAAAGCCCCCTTTGGACAATGGCCACATGCGTGACGAGTTTCTTACCCAATTAGTCAATGATAGTGAAGACCGTGATAGTTGTGAAAGGCATATCTCGCATCTGCTAAGGGCCCAGACGTGGGTTTATAAAAACGCAGTGAGCTGAGACAGCGAGACTTACGCGATGAATTATCACCCGCTTATAATCCATTTCGGCACGCACCTCCTCTGCCGGGATGTTGTGGAGCAGTAGTGTCTCCAGGCACAACGCGTTGGTATTCCAAGAAGTCTGCTTGGAGCGAATCATACCATCTTCCTTGTCGCCAAATTGGCTTACAGTAGTGCTGTCAGAGACGTCCATAGAGCCTACCATCAAGGGCCCAGCGGCTGATCGCTGCCGTAAGAGACGTGGGGAATGTTGCGAGAGAAGATTGAGAGGCTCTGGGGGCCAGACTGTAACATTTCCAGCGCTAAGCTCGGCGCGTCGAGCGCGTTGTTTGCTGAAGTCAACAAGACGAACAGTCCAAGTCAAGATAACTTTATTAAGCTCATCTGAATGCACCGAACGGCATTCGGTGATCAGAACAAGGTCACCAGCTACTTGGACATGATCCACCATGAGGTTAAGAACATTCCATGGTGGTCTGCCCAGTAAGGCCGCGTTCGTGCTGATATCTCCTTTCGCATTGGTGATCTTTTGGGGAACGGATAACTTGATAAAGTGTGCACAACGCTCTTGTGACCAAAAATCAATTGAGACAACGGGAGGAGTAGGGGCCACATTAATTCCAACATCTCCCAAGCTCGTCGGAGCAGCCATTTTGTCGATAAGTTTCAGGAAGATTGGAAGGGGGCATATGAGGTGATGTACGCCATTTGAAGCCCACTTTAGGTGGTAGACGGCTTGATCACCATGGGACTGGCGGGCTGTAGGGAACGGACGACAGGCTGCCCCAAACTCTCGTATTGTTCGGTCCGCAAATTCTCTTAAATCGAATCTAAGCAAGGCCTGAGGTGATTTATTTGGATGGAGGGGGTCAAGTGCGTAGACTTGGATGAATAGTTGTTGCGAATCCTCAGGTGCCGAGAATCCGGATGAATGGGCCGTGATGAATCTAGACGAATCCAGGAATACTGGGCGAGTGCACTGCCACGTACTTCTTCCCGTGCTGAGAAGTAGATTCTAGAGTCGGTGTCCACAAATCAGTCGCCGAATCAATACCTCGGATTTAGAACGATCGAGCATTTGGACATACGCAGAAGAGTTCACCCGACTTCCAGTCCCATATTAGCAGGTATTGACGATCCAATCGTGGAGTTCCGGGCGCGGTAACCGCCTCAATGGAATCAACAAACTTTGCCACACAAGACACAAACCGCCCATCACCATCAATAGTAAGTGAGTCTCTCATCTGCAGATTACAAGATGCCATCACAACTAGTGGTGATACCTGTGCAAGTGGATGCGTTTCTTCAGGATTACTTAGCGACTGAAAGCGTAAAATGTATTGATTGTCCAAATCACTATGCATGGGGTCAAATTGAATATAACAAGCGACGCCATCTACGTTTGCGTTGATAGAACTCACAAGTCACTGACAATAAAGAGGTCGAGATCCAAGTCGACCGCCTCATTGAATGGGTCGTCTCCAACCATGAAAAGAGGGGTGGGGTTATGATAACTCAGGTCTGGCTCCCAAGACTCTCCGTCATCAGCGCAAGCGGGCATATCGATGATACGGGGTGGTGCACCAGAGTCTTGATGCCCAACAAGCGCGCAATGGGCGAACGGTGATGACAAATAAGTGGAGGGGATACGTTCAGGGAGCGCGACAAGAGGGAACCTTCCTGCCGTTTCACGCACGGTATCCCTTCGGAGGAGCAGCCTGGGCTCACCGGCCGCGCTGGAACTACCGAACGGCTCCCATTTGTCGTCGTCAAGATTGAGTGGTGTTCGCCGTGCTTCCTCATGTCGAAGAAGTCTAGACAGGCGCTCGGAAATTGGGACTCGTGGATTACAGTCCTCAGTGAAGGGCGAGACCCCATAGATGCCACACCATACGTAGTATTGTAGAGTAAGCGACTCCTCGATCAAGCTTCTCCATTGTCGACAAACCTGTCGCGCCCATAGGAAGAAGGTACTCATGTTCAGGTTCAGATATGAGCAGCCAATAGAATGCGTACTGCTCTTGCGCGCACGATATCAGCGTACGGTATCATGCACAGCACGTCGTGCACAAGATCGGGAGGTATTCCATACATCGCCATTGCACTTGTCAAAGGTGTGTGTAGTGGTGGTGGTTGGACGAGTTGCCACCAGCTCGGCTCCGACCGCTAGATTCCCACGGCCAGTCAGATCTCAGACTACACCGCATTTTTAATCTTCAGCACCTTTCTTCAGTTACTCATATAATGTACAGCCAGATATTAGATGATTCAAATATAATATTCCGTGGGCTTAGTTAGTTGCCGATAAGTTAGATGTACTTTCTGGGAGGGTAAAGAATCAGTGGAGTTGGTGGTGTTTGGTCAGCGGGTGTGGGCCTGATATTCTCACTTCACCATGATAAAACCACCAAAAAACTGGAGAGATACATATTCCCCATGATTTTGTGAGTATATAAGAGCTTCTGGTCCAGAAATCCAGGTTGTCATGAGCCGAAAATGTCGTTGTAAATGAAGTGGTCCTGGATCCAACTTCCGCCCCTCCCCAGGATGAAGACGAGTTGCCCGAGTGGTCTAAGGGGACGGCCTTAAGATCTCTGATATCTTATCCGTTGTTTATACGCGTGGGTTCAAACCCCACACTCGTCAACCTGTTTTTTTGGCCGTTTTGAGGAGGGGGTTTCTCGCCCTCTCACTTTTTGGGCAATTACACTGCAACAACGCATTTCTCGCGGTTATAAACCCACTTTCAATTTATTAGACCTTATTATCCACCCTTTTTTATATGGGGACTTTGTGCTCAGGTCGATGTGTGCCGTGGTAGGGAGGAAACGGGAGGTAGGTGGCATCATGAATGTTCGGAATGCGGTGTCACAACAACAGCCGCACAAATCGCGCCCTCCGAGGAGACATATGCTTCGGATAATATTCTCATCAAGTATGGCTATCTTTCCATCAAAGAATGGCAAAAATCCATCCGTAACTTGTCGTGCTGTGAGGATTTCTACAATTGAACATTCCCACGCACGTCAATTCTTGCTGTTCAGCCGTAGTTCCAGCTGGGAGGCTACGATAAAGCCTCTCAACCTTTTGGGCGCTAATTGACGGAGAAATTATCCAAGCATCGTGATATCCGATATGTCCATATCTGCGGTAATGACATGTATGTCTTTGTCGAGCCTCACAAGATTTCTACCATTTTGAGCAATTTGGTCGTTCATGTAGATGAGCGGCATTGTAACAATCCTCATTATCATACTCCACGGCGGTCTCATAATCTTACATGAGAACTGCGGCCACCTCAGGGCGCTTGAGCAGTACATGCCCTCCTTCATTGATCGCGTTTCGGATACCGATGCCCGCTACCAGATGACCACTTCGCTGCGATAGCGGCCTGCACTTGGCCTATTCGGAACGGGATTACTACAATTCTCTTGAGAATGGTGGAAGAATGACTAGGAAGCTGATAAGGATCAAATCATGCTCACGGCCTGGGAGCGCTCGCTCCAGATGACCCGATTCTTATGAGCGGACGTACATATGTTCTCCGCACAGCAGTGCTCGCACGATCCTCCCACCGCTGGATGTCCTCCCCGCATGAGACTGAATGAATGCATACATTCGCTGGCAACGCGTATCAACAAAGCAGGCTTGACGATCCCGGCGGTAAGAAGATACTCAGGTGTGGGGAAGTGGGGAAGTGTGGGTTGGAGGCCGTGGTATCAACACTGTACAATTTGATTTCATCGCTGTAAGTTCAGTCGATGTGAGTATGTCTGTGAGTGAGTGTGTGCGTGGGTGCGGAAATGACGCAAGGGTCACTCACTCATTAACTTGTAGAGCGAGTGGATTTGCCAAATCGTCATGATGGGCCAAATGGTTGAACTGAACGGACCAAGGGAGGGGAGGGCACACAGACAGAGAGGTATGCGTTCCCAGAGGAACAGATTGCGCTATCGATGCTTGCTTTGGCAAATCACTGGAGCATGTGATTCGAAGCAACAGAAGAAGGGAGGATCATCGCCTCCCTCTGCAAGGATGTTTCCGCTCATATATGGGGCCCTGACTATGAAGAACATGTGTCCTGCGTCGTTATGAATCATGGAGTTGGCCGCCGCGGCCCTAATCAGATTTGCCCGAGCAGACAGACAGACGCCGGTGTACGAGGGCTGAAAGAGACATGACAAGACAGGAAAGGAATTTGGGAAGTGTGCGTATCTCGTACGTGTGTGAGTAAGTTGTGAATCAGGCCAAGGCGCTTATGATTCAGACGGGGTAGAATGAGATTTCCGCCAGAGCGTCGTCGCGCTGATCTTTGATTCAAATCCCTCCTATTAACGAGATACGGAGCAAGATAACAAATGGAAGAAGTCGGGAGACCCTAATAAATTTAGGGGGAGGAATGGCTAGGAGGTCAGGGCGCGCACCCTGAAACGTGGACGCGTGACTTGGTCTGCTGAGAGAGAAAGAGATCCACCCATCATCACATCACCGCGCCGATGGCGATAGTGGTGATAACAATCAAATCGTATCCCACACGTCGGAGGCACCGCCAGCGAACCCTTGGAGCGCATTTGAGAGTGAGAAGCCGATGGGCGGTCTTCGGGGATTTCGAGCTGGGGCCCTGACTGGAGGGTCAGGAGGTCAAGGGACGCACCATTTGTACACACGAAGTTTGTGTGTGTATGTGCGGCCGAGAAACGGGGAAGGGCTGGTGACTATGATGATGATGACTAGTATTGATATATAATGAACCCAAAGCTAAGGAAGAAGGGCACAGCCTGTATATGCGCGGGAGTTTACTGTGCAAGTTCGGTCGTATAAAAGGGGGGAGCAGTTGCGATGCAACTCTCTTCTTTCTCTCCCCTCTCGAAACGCCCACACCGCCTCGTTGCGCAGGACAAATATCCCTAGAAATCACACCTTCATCTTGCGCACGCATAAAGCGCTCAAGATTTCCTGCTGAACACCGACAACCCAGGTCGTGCGCCCCCGATTGTCGTCACTGTGTGTATTCGGACGATTTCGGCGCTTAGAGGACTGAATTGATCATCTGACTGGGACGACCGAATTGAGCTCCGTTCAACACACTTCTTCTTCTTCTTCTTCTTCTCATCGTGCTCGTGCTCTTGTCCACCAAATCCACCTGCCCACCCGTCCACATTCCACCCCCACCACCCGCAAACAACACCCCTAAGCACCTCCGATGGCGACACATGGGCCAATCAACGGCGTCAAGATCTCCCGTAAGTGTCACTTCAACATCATCTAAAGCCAAGAAGGCCCCACCCTCATCGCCCCCAACCCCTCTCGTTTGTCCTCTCCATCCGTTCACACAACCACTCCCCCAACACTATCCACTCCTCGATCGTCATAATCTCCATCCACACAGCCATCGACGACCCCAACAAGATCATCAAGGTCGTCGCCTGTGACAGGTCCGGCGAGCAGAAAGAAGTCTCCTACACCAACTGCAAAATCATCGGAAATGGATCCTTTGGCGTCGTCTTCCAAGCACGTCTAGCTGGCTCAGACAGGCCCGAAGACGACATCGCGATCAAAAAGGTCCTCCAGGACAAACGCTTCAAGGTCTGTATTTCGTTGTCGCCGGCCTGCGGCCTTCTCATGTGTCGTCACAACCGTCATCGCCTTTTGCTCGTTTCCAAGCCCCCCTCTCCGCCAAAAAATGCTGACAACTGGTTCATCCTTTCTTAGAACCGAGAGCTTCAGATCATGCGGCTCGTCTCCCATCCCAACGTCGTCGATCTCAGAGCATTTTTCTACTCCAACGGGGACAAGGTTCGTTACTTTTTATCGCCTTTCTCCTCTGCACTACCATTCATTCATGCCGATCGTCATGATGAATGGTGGATAATCATACCTCGCATCGGAGAACCGTTTGAGCTGACTGCCTACGTTTCTTGCTTTTGCGGCGCTTCCCCTTATTTCATATATTTAAACTCCCATGAACATCTTCATCTTCACTTTCTGGGGTCCTTGTTCATGCATGACCTCTCGACGGCGATGATGATGATGACGATGATGCCTCGATGTGCCTGATCCCACAGAAAGATGAAGTCTATCTCAACCTCGTGTTAGAGTATGTGCCAGAGACGGTCTACCGCGCCTCCCGCCACTACGTCAAGCTCAAGCAGCCCATGCCCATCCTCCAAATCAAGCTGTACATGTACCAGCTCCTGCGTTCACTGGCGTACATCCACTCAGTAGGCATCTGCCACCGAGACATCAAGCCCCAGAACCTGCTTCTCAACCCATCCTCGGGCATCCTCAAACTCTGCGACTTTGGGTCCGCCAAGATTCTCGTGGCAGGGGAGCCAAACGTCAGCTACATCTGCTCACGGTATTACCGTGCGCCCGAGCTCATCTTTGGGGCCACCAACTACTCGACGAACATTGATATCTGGAGCACCGGGTGCGTCATGGCGGAATTGATGCTGGGCCAGCCGCTCTTCCCTGGCGAGAGTGGGATTGATCAGCTCGTGGAGATCATCAAGGTTTTGGGAACACCAACAAGGGATCAGATCAAGACGATGAATCCCAACTACATGGAGCACAAGTTCCCGCAGATCAAGCCTCATCCGTTCTCAAAGGTTCGTTGCTGCTTCCTTTTTGCTGCGTGCATGGTCCGTGCGAAGCGCGGATGGTTGTGTTTCATGGCCTTGGCGGCGCGACGAGGGGGGCTTGGCGCGAATTCGAGCTCGGCAACTGCTTGATCATCTGCGCATGCAAGCCCCCCCGTCGTCGTCGAAGGCTGCCCATTTCCGCTATTATTATTGTTTTCGAGGCCTTAGTTTGTGCGACTGACGAAATGATTTATCTATTTTCGTCATCTAGGTGTTCCGACCCCGCACCCCAGTGGAAGCCATCGATCTTGTGTCGCGCCTCCTCGAATACACCCCGCAAGCACGGCTGAGCGCTGTCGAGGCCATGTGCCATCCCTTCTTTGATGATCTGCGCGTCGAGTCGACCAAGATGCCGAACGGGAAGGACCTACCTCTGCTGTTCAACTTTACGCGTGAAGGTTTGTTTCTTTTCATCTCCATATTGTCCTTCCTTTTCAATTGCTGATTTGTTGTTCCTCATATTCACTCTGGGATTTAATCAGAGTTGTCGATCCGCCCAGATCTCAACCAACGATTGGTGCCGGACTGGATCCAGCCGGAGCTTCGCTCACGAGGCATCGACATTAACAACTTTACCCCCATACCGCTTGAGGAGCTCAGGATCACCTTGGACTAGGGTCATTATTGAGCCTTTTCCTTCTTACCCTCCCATTATGCACCTCTACCCCCACCTCGATACCACCCTTCCCCTCCGCACTCTCACGTCCTTGACTGAGCAATGAGCACTAATTGATGATGATACCCGTTCTTTGTGTTTTCGTCTTGACGCGCTCGAGCTTGCCTCTCTTGCCCCCACTCCCTCTCACCTCCATCCACTGCCCTCCGCCTCCTAAATAACCCTCACTCCTCCTCTTCCTGGCAATATTTCCTTTCTGTGCATTTAACGTGTGTATCGTATCGTCGCGTGTAGTCACGCCCCTCATCGGCCTCGTATTCTCTTCTCCTATGATCTGCGGTTCCCCACCTCCTCTGTGTCTCGCCTAGTATCTCCTCTTTACTTTTTCT